GCACCGAGCGGTGGGCACACACGGGTGGGCACCCAGGGGTCCAGGCTCACCGCCTTTACCCACCCCGCGGTGCAGGGAGCAGCCTGGAGCCCGAGGAGCGCAGCATGGAGCCGCCGGCCGTGCCGGAGGAGGAGGAGGAGGAGGAAGAGGGGGCGGTGCCCCTCTCCGTGGCGCCCGGCCCCGTGGGTTGCCAGCTCTTTGGATACGTGGGAATCGAAGCTGTGCTCGACCAGATGAAAATCAAAACCATGAAGACAGGCTTTGAGTTCAACATCATGGTCGTGGGTGAGCGCCGGGCGTGGGGTTTGCTCCTGGTTGGGGTGGGAATTCTGGCTCTGATTCCGCCATGCCAGGGGAAATTGCGCTTTTAAGGGATTTTAAGGAAATTTCAGTGATTTTAAGTAGCAAACATTTGAAAAGGAGTTAATATCCCGTACCCCAATGCTGATAGGTGAGCTCATCCCAACCTCTGAGATGCTCCCAAATGGATGTTGAGAGAGTAAATTTTTTTGGAAGATAAACCTGTCTAACCCAATCTGGGGTGCTCCCAGATGTGTGCCAGGGGTTGTGACCTTGGGGAACAAATTTGTTCCTGGGATAAAATGGACTATCCCAACTCTGGGTTGCTCCCAAGTGGATATCAGGATGTTACAAACCAGAGCTGCCGGTGTCCTCTCAGGGCAGAGCGGGCTGGGGAAGTCCACGATGGTGAACACTCTCTTCAAGTCCAAGGTGAGCCGCAAATCCTCACAGCCCGGCCAGGAGGAGCGTATTCCCAAAACAGTGCAACTCCAGTCCATCACCCATGGTAAGGTCACCACCACGGCGTCGTGTCCCCCCAGCCCTTGGGAGAAGCAGGGGACGTGGGTGGGGGTCTGAAGCTGTGTTCACAGCTTCAAAATATCCCCCATGCCTGGTCCCCTGCTTTTCCCCGATGCTTCATCCCCCCTGACCAACCTCTCTGCCCCACAGTCATCGAGGAAAAGGGGGTGAAGATGAAGCTGACGGTGACGGACACGCCAGGGTTCGGGGACCAGATCAACAATGAGAACTGGTAGGACACAGTGGGGTGCAGGAGCCCAGATCTGTGGGTGGCAATTTGGGGTTGAGCTCAGGTGCTGTCCCTCAACTCCTCATCCTCAGTTGGGACCCCATCATCAAATACATCAACGAGCAGTACGAGAGATACCTGCGGGAGGAGATCCTCATCACCCGCAAGAGGAAGATCCCGGACACTCGGGTCCATGGATGCGTTTACTTTGTCCCCCCCACAGGTCACTGGTGAGTCCCCAGGCAGGGCACCCGTAGGTGATGGGGCCACTGTGGGGTGGTTGTGTCACCCGGGGATGATGGTGGTTGTGTCACCCAGCGATGATGGTGGTGGGGTCATCTCAGGGTGACTCTGGAGTGGTGGCGTGGTCACCCCATGATGACAAGAGGTGGGGTTGTCACTATGGGGTGGTTGTGTCACCCTGGAATGATAACAATGGGGCCAGGGTGACAGAGATAGGGTATCAACCTGGGGTGGTAAGGGGAAGGTCACCTCAGGGTGGTGGTGCTGGGGTCACCTCAGAGTGACCCTGGGGTGGTAGTGGTGGGGTCACCCCCCAGTGACAGAGGTGGGGACACCCTGGAGTGACAGCAGTCCTTGTCAGGCTGCGCCCGCTGGACCTGGAGTTCATGCGGCGGCTCAGCAAGATCGTCAACGTGGTGCCGGTGATCGCCAAAGCTGACACGCTCACCCTGGAGGAACGGGCAGAATTCAAACAGCGGGTGAGGACAGGTCCCCAAGGGGTTCCCAGGCTGCCCCATGTCCCCCCCAGCCCCAGCTCAAGCCCTGTATCCCGCAGATCCAGGAGGACCTGAAGACCCACGCCATCAGCGTGTACCCGCAGGAGGATTTCGATCAGGACCCCGAGGACAGAGCGCTGAACAACAGGATTCGTGTGAGTGCCGGGATGCTGCGATGGAGGGGCCAGCCTTGGGGGAGCAGGGTGGGGGACAGGAACCCCGGGGAGCCCAGCAGGTATCCTGGGGCCCTCGGGGGAGCAGCACCCAAGGTGAGCACAGCCTCTGTGCCGGCAGGAGAAGATTCCCTTTGCCGTGGTGGGGGCGGACCAGGAGCACCAGGTGAACGGTAAACGGGTGCTGGGCCGCAAGACCAAGTGGGGCATCATCGAAGGTGAGCGGGGCCCTCACACCCCCACAGGTGCAGGGGGCAGCACCCACGGCTGTGTCCGTGCCTGGGTGGGTGCCGAGCCGTGGCACGGAGCTGTGCTCTGCTCCGCTGGTACCCAGAGCCTGCCAGGATGCGCTGCCCGGGCATCCCAGCGCCACGGAGCCCTCCTGCCAACCCCGCCCCTCTGCCTTGCTTTGCAGTGGAGAACCCAGCGCACTGCGAGTTCCCCCTCCTGCGGGACCTGCTGATCCGGTGAGCGGGGGACACGGTGGGGAGTGCTGGAACCCACGGGGTCACAGCAGGGTGTGGGGGACGGTGACATTATGCCCTTCCTCCCCTTGCCACCCCGGACAGGTCACACCTGCAGGACCTGAAGGACATCACCCACAACGTTCACTACGAGAGTTACCGCGTGCGGCGGCTGAACGAGAGCAACCGGCCGGGGCTGAGCCCCCTCAATGGGCTGCCCGGCAAGGGCGAGGCCAGCAGCCACCTCTGAGCCACCTCGTGCCCCCAGATCACCACTGGAGCCCATGGCAGTGCCCACCCCTGCCCACCATGGCTGTGCCAGGAACCTGCCTGGGGTGAAGAGCCCCCCCAGGAGTGCCCAGCTGCCCTGACATGGGTCCCTCATCCCCGAGCTCTGCCATGGGCACAGCCCCCGGACCCTGTGTGACATTAAAGGTTAATCCAGAGCCCTCAGCCTTCACCCTCCTGCTGGACTCCCAACTTTTGATGTGCCACCACCCTCCTGTGCTGCTGTGGCTGCTGGGCCTCCCCAGGCACGCCGGGGAAGTGGAGGTGCTGCCCATGGGGTGTGACCAGGGTGCAGAATCCCTCCCCACGATCACCTCACCCGCCCTGCCCAGCGAGGCAGCTGGCACAGCTGGACTTTGAGCCACTTATCGAGTGCTGGAGGTGCCGGGAGGGGAGCGGAGGTGCCGGAGGGGTGTGGAGATGTCGCCTGCAAGGGTGTGAAGGGGCTACACCCAGCTGAGGCACCCCCCTGGCAGGGGCACTGTTCTGGGTGCAGCCCCTAAACCCCTCAGGGACACCCAATGGGTGCTGCCCCACTGGCTGCCAAGCCCTGGGAACACCCCCCGCTATTCTAGGGGTGCATGAAAAGCCCTTTTGTACCTCTTGCCGTGGGCAGGGCTGGGGCTCGCTGCCAGGATGGTGGCACATGGTGGCTTCCTGCCCGCCCCGGCCCCACCGCAGGGCTCGGCGTCACCGCCCTTTGTCCGGCCCCGCGTTAATGATCCACCGGCCCCCGGCAGCCGCCCGAGGTGCCGGCAGTGG